GACTGCATTACCAAGAAAGCTCTGGGGGAATAAGTTGCTGTTCTCAGTCAACTGATCAGTTGCAATAAAACAATTAGTCAGATGACTATTTAAAAAGCAAAAGGTTCCTGGGTCAGATGGTGGACATCTGCCACCTGGAGGGTAGAGCCTTTCTGTGTGCTAAATGGAGAAGGATGGAGAAGGACTAACCCCTGAGTTTTGAGTTTGAGGAATTTCAGAACAGCTTGTTTGGGAACAGTCAGAGTGAGATTATGGAAGTTTTTTGATTAGTGATAAACTAAATTTTCTGAGGATGGTAAGCAGTTTAGTAATTATTCTTGGTTGTAATGTCAGCCTAAATCCTATCTTAGACTTTGAGATACAAAATGGATGCACACCGTGCCAAATGTATTCAGTCCCTTGTACAGTTTTCACTTTTTGATGCTTTAAACCTTGTAGTCATGAAACTGAGATAACAATTCATGTTATATACATAACCTAGTCCATACTTTCAAATCAGAATACAAAGAAAGAAGTAAATATAGTGATGGGGGGAAAAAGAAACTCAATGAGGTGAGACCAAACTGGAACATTTTAATCAAAATGTCAGTCAGGAGGGCTTGGAAACCCTAGAATTGAAGATAAAGCACATAGAGCAAAGTACCAGCAAATACTAGATGAAAACGTTTACTCTGCAAAAGATATCAAATTGGGGTACACCTTTGAGTAGGACATTAATCCAGAGTGTAAGGCCAAAGCTACACTGGAATGACTTAAAAATGAGAACGTAAATGTCCTTAGATTGCCCAGTTAAAGTCTTGACTTACTGTAAGTCCAATTGAGAATCTGCAGAATGCCTTGAAAAGGCTATGGCCACCGGTTGTGCCCAGGAGTTGCTCTGGCTCCAGGCGGTCACTGTTGCTGGCTCCCAAAAGGTGTCTGCAAGCCTGCTCATTTTTTGAGCTAGCTGGCGTTTGACGAAGTTTGCAAGGCTGTGCCAAGCACTGTCCATCCTGCCCTGCTTCTGACACCAATTGTAGTGAATTTGGGTTCGTGCAGGAAAAAGAAACCAGGCAACGCTCTTGTTTGGCACACAAGCACCTTTTATTAAGCCTCGGTCAGCCAGCTATGGGCAACAGAGACAAAATCGAACTCAGGCTTGACACATAGACTAGGGAGGTAAATGCAGATTCAGGGTGGTTACACATTAAGGGACACTAACACAGGTAAACACTAAACTGCTGTTTACACAAATGCAATTGGGATTATTTACATTACTGGGAGGTACTGCTCGCTCCTGATGCTCTCCCGAAGATGGCCTTTTCCATCGGCCAAGGCCTCTGGCAGTTCACTGTCATGCTGTTCGGTCTGTGCAACACCCTGGCAACCTTCGAGCAGCTGATGTAGTGGGTGCTGATGTCGGCCGCGATGAGCTGCTGTGTTGTCTACCTGGACAACCTGCTGGTCCATGCCCCAGGCTTCGACCAGGCCCTGATGAATCTCCGGATAGTGCTGGTGTGCATCTGGTGCTCCGGCCTTAAGCTGAGCCCCCGGAAATACGAGCTCCTGCGGTGAGAGGTGACCTTCCTGGGGCACATCGTCAGACTGCGAGGGGTGGCTATGGACCCAGGTAAGGTTGCCGCCGTGAGGGACTGGCTGTCGCCTGGCACCATTGCGGAGCCGCACAGCTTCCTGGGGCTGGCCTCGTACTACCGGAGGTTCATCCGGGACTTTGCCAGCATCACTGCACAACTGCACAGCCTCGCCAAAAAGGGCCGTAAATTCATATGGGACTCAGACTGTGATGCAGTCTTCTCTTGGCTGCGCGAGGCACTGGTGGGAGCCCCCATGCTGGCCTACCCCGATCTGTGGTTGCCAAATGTGTGTGACACTGACACGAGTGACTCGGGGGTGGGCGCGTTGTTAGCTCAGGAGGGGTCAGGTGAGGAGTAGGTTGTCATGTTACATTAGGGCTCTGAGTAAAGCCAAGCGGAACTATTGCATTCCCTGTCATGAGCTGCTGGCAGTGGTGGAGGTGGTCCAGCACTTCAGGCCGTACCTGTTTGGGATCTGGTTCTGGTTGCGGACCGACCATGCGTCCCTTACCTGGCTGTTAAATTTTAAAGAGCCGAAGGGTCAGAAGGCATGGTGGATTGAGGTCCTGTAGAAGTACAACTTCACTGTCTCGCCACCGCAATGCAGACGCTCTCTTGCGTTGGTCCTGCAAGGCAGCAGACTGCCATTACTGCACCCGGTGGGAGGAGAGTGAGGAGGCCGGCCACATTGGAGCGGAGGTGAACGCTGTGGCTGTGGGCCTGGAGGGGCCACTGGGGGTGGATCTCGCGGACTTGGCGCAGCAGCAGAGGGCAAACCCAAACATTGGGCCAGTGCTCCGCTGGAGGACAGTGGGGATCCGGCCTATGTGGGAGGAGCTTGCTCCCTACTCTAAGTCCGTCAAGTCTCTCTGCTCTCTATGGGAGACCTTGGAGGTGAAGGATGGGGTGCTACACCAGGGGTTGTGGGTACCTTCCAGCAGCGAGATCCGGCGGCAGCTAATGGTGCCGCAGCTGCTCCATGAGGTGGTGCTTCGTGTGGGCATGGGGGAACTTCAGCTCGACAAAAACCCTACAGCGCCTCCAGGGGCATTTCACTGGGTCGTGGCACTGCAGGATGTGCGCAGTGTGCGTGGCGCAAAAGGGTCCCCCTGAGTGATCCCGGTCCCCTTTCCAGCAACATCAGGTGAAGGATCCCATGGAGTGGGTAGGGGTGGACGTTTTGGGTCTGTTTCCACATACCAAGGCCGGGAACTGCTACGTCCTGGTGGCCATGGACTACGGTACTAACTGGCCCAAGGCCTGTGCCCTACTGGACCCAAGCACACCCACGGTGGCTGACACCGTGCTGGAGGAGATTATTGCCTGGCTGGGAGTACTGGTAGATCTGTACAGCAACCAGGGGTGGAATTTAAAATCCCAGTTCTACACCAGGGTGTGCCAGGGTGTGGGGATCATCCTGATACATCCCCAGAGCGATCGGTTGGTGGAGCATTTTAACCGGACACTCTCCATACAGCTGGCCACCCTGCTCTCCTGGCACCAGCAGGACTGAGACCACCATCTCCCCCTCGTGATCTGGGTGTACTAGACTGCGGTCCTGGAGTCCACCGGGTGCACTCCAGCGTCCCTGATGCTGGGGAGGGAGATGCGTACCCTGGTTGACCTGGCCTTTGGTTCGCCCCCCAGGGATGAGCTGGTTCTGCCAGCTGGACCAGACTACAAGTGGCACTTGTAGCAGCGAATGCATTGGGTACACAGCTTTGCCTGGACCCACCTGACAAAGGCAGGAATCTGGCAAAAGAGGTACTACAACATGCGCTGCGGGAGGCCTACCTTCCAGCCTGGTGCCGTCGTGGGAGGGGCCCAGCGAGGTCCTGGGGGTAATGGGCACGGTCTGCTACAGGGTCCGGTTGCAAAAGTGGGGGAGGGTGGTGGTCCTGCCCTGGGATTGCCTGGCACGCTATCGGGCTTAGTTGGAGACAACTGGTGGGGAAGCCCCGGAGGAGCCCGGGGAGCAGCCTGGCCAAAAGCTGCCCTGTGGTGGCGAGTTGACGGGTTGCCAGCCTTCACTGCGTCTCAGTGGGCGGTCACACAGGGTTCCCCAGCAGCTTGCAGAGTATAAGTACAGCCTGTGGGGTTTGTTTGACGTCACCGAGATGCTGGAAGCCTCAGATGGGGGCAGTGTAGCGCCCTCGCTGGGTGATGAGGAGGACGCGCACCCGGGTAGTGCATGCACTGCAGAGCAGGCTGGAAGTTGTAGCCAGGGGATGGTGCACTGAGAGCTAATGTAAATAATCCCAATCGCATTTGTGTAAACAGCAGTTTAGTGTTTACCTGTGTTATTGTCCCTTAATGTGTAACCTGAATCTGCCATGTCACCTTGCAGCTCTCAACTGGCTACCCACTGAAGCTAAGCAGGGGTGAGCCTAGTCAGTACCTGGATGGGAAACCTCCTGGGAAGCTATGGTTGCTGCTGGAAGAGGTGTTAGTTTGACCAGCGGGGGGCACACACCCTGCGCTCTGTATGGGTCATAACGCCCCGGTATATTGGCGGGGACACTATACTGAAGTGGGTGCCATCTTTTGGATGAGGTGTTAAACCAAGGTCCTGGCTCTGTGGTCATTAAAGATCCCCGGGCATTTCTCGATAGGTGTAGGGAGTTATCCCGGTGTCAAGGCCACATTTCCCTCCTCGGCTTTTACTCCGGCCTCCAAATTGTCCCCATTTACAGTATGATTGGCTTGTACTTGACCTGTCCAGGGTGTACCTTGCCTTGCCCATAGCTGGCTGATGGAGGCTTAATAAAAGGTACTTGTGTGCCAAATTAGAGTGGTGTCTGGTTCTTTTTCCTGCGTGAACCAAATTTCACTAAAATATATTCAGAAAAACATTTATGCATCACTTTCTAATGTCATAAAATGGGAATTCATAGGAAGGGCTGGAATACTTTGAAAGGCAGTTTATAAATGCAATAAATTATTATGAAAATTCTACTGCTTTTAGGTGCACTTAGTGGTAATTACTGAGTGCCATCAGTTTTTTGTAATTGACTTAGTGAATACATTTCACAGGTGTTAATAATTATGTGTGCTACTATATACACTCCTAAACATGTATGTTATATAGGTATGTGCATGTACGAAGGTAACTTTTAAAACAATTAAAAAGTGTGCTCAAATGTCACAGTTACAGTGATTGATGTGGGTGTATTTCACCAAGTAATACTGTGGAGTGTTACCATAAGCGGTCCCTTAGAAACAAAGCACCATCTTTCTTACAAAGGGCTGCTGTGACCCTGAGTCTGCCCTTAAATCGGCATTTTAACAGCCCTCCCCCACCCTAGACACACAGGAAGGCTTTTTCCTGGTGAGCCTTGGCATCAAGCGAAGTTCGCTCGCTCTCGTTCAGGAGGCACCTGTTCTGCTGAGCGCGTTCCCGATGTAATGCGCGGCCCCGCGTGCACGGGGTGAGCGCGCTCTTTATGACAGGTCGGAGAGAAGGAAAGAGAGAAGGGAGCGTGCGTTTATCAAGAAGGGGGGGGGGACCCAGCTGCAAAAAAAAAAGAGAAACGCGTAACAATGGCAGCATCAAGCACCTTGTTGTAGATGGTGGAGAATAGCCGAAGGGGCGCCATGAATTAGGAATCTGGGGTCTAAAAAACATGACACTACTTTGAAACGTGGGAATCGCATGGAAAAATGAAACGGTTAAAGTCCTTGTTTGTTTCGTGGAATATGAAGAATGCCGTAAAATAAAAAAATGGAGTTGTAGGGGGGAGAAAAGAGCTCTGGCTCCATCATTTCAGAGGCGCGTCCACCTGCTGATACTGGAAGTCCAGGCTGGGAAAAAAAAAACATGGAGAAGTGGCTGCGTTGAGGAAAAAGACAAATTTCCCATTTTGTGAAAAGAGGAGGGGGGAGGGTGGGGGGATCCGGGCGACAGGGAGAAAGAGCGCAGTTTGGGTGCATTGAGAGGTAAGTCGGGTAATGCGGTGCCATTGAGAGTATGGGTTGCTTTATTCTGGAAGAGCTTGCAGATACAGTACTACGGCTACAGCACGATACATGCCTACCACAGCTACACCGGACAAAAAGGCCTTTTAAAAAAAAATCTTGTAACAATACACATAGCACGTTCAACAATTTCGGATACAGCTATGCAGTTCTCACATGCTTTTCTTTTTTTCTGAATGCGATTATTAATGATTGCAATGCAGCACTTCAGTGAACTGTGCATCACCGTAATTGTTGCAAATGTGAGAAGTGCTGAATGTATCATTTCATGCCGTACACGCTTTAATCACGGGACGTTAAAAAAAAAACAAATAATGGGGTTATCTTGGAAAACTTGAATGACTTTTGGGGAGCGGTAGACGTGCCGATACCCATGACTTGTGTATACGGATGTTTATTATCTTGTTTTTTTCATCTGGATGTTTGCTATGCGTTAGAACAGGGAAAGTGTTGTTTTTTTTTACCACGTTGATCATCAGCTATCATTTTACAGACTTCCACTTAGTTCCCATGTTGCAGGAATTTGTAAAACGGCCAGAATTTGTCTTTGCATTTGCTTAGAGGAAAACGCAGTATTTGAACAAATCCAGAGCGAGCACGTTCTTTGGAACATGTTCCCCAAATTTAATTGCTGCTGTAGTATATCATGTGTTCAATCCGAGGGCTAGTTATCAAGGTTCTTTAATTAGTGTGCTGGCCTTTTGTAGATGCTGCATTAACGTGGTGTTGATTCTATGGTTCTAGCGAAGTGGTTGTGATAACTGTTAAATGTTGTTTATAAAATACGTAGCAAAGAGAATAAATAACTGGTACTGATTGTGAATTGTATGGCCGTGCAATGTTACAATAACAAACACTGGAGTAACAAAACCTTTAAGTTGGCAAAAGTTACTTTTAGCAAAAATAGCGTTTACCAGTAGAGATCATAAGTTGTAGTAGAAGTAGCTGTACTCTCCCAAGTTCTCAGTGCACTGATAAAGGATACAAATTACTCAATTGTTCTTGTTTTGGTGCTGAAAAAGGGGGGAGTTTTCACGTGTTTTTGTTTTATAATAAAAAAACGCAGTTAGAGGTTTACCAGTGTTAGAAATAGCGAAAATAAAGTTCAGGCGGTATTGGCTAGGCTCTCCTTACACTGCGTTATTTGCTTGTTTGGACAAGTATGGTTATTTTGTTTATTTCTAGTGTTGATATTTGTATGGACCTTTGACTCTTCCAATATCTGAACCTACAGTAACTGAGACCTGTTGGAGGTATTAGTAGGCATTATGTTAATCTGTTTGGTATGGACTTGATGTTTAAAGTGAGAGACTATTCCTTTTTCAGGACTTCATGCCTCAAAGGCCCAGGCAGGGTGGGTACCTGTTTGAGTCGTAGGGAGTTTGGTGTAATGCGGTATCTTAGCCTTTTTTCATCATCAACTTCATGGTGTTCACTGAAGGATAATCCTTTGACTTGCTGCTGACATCCTCCTCAATCTTCTTGCGGAATTGTGCTCAATGAGTTTCTCCTCAAATGCTTTCTTTCAGTGGCTCTAGGCTGCGTTTTAAAATTGAGCATGTTGTTGGAGCATGATTAACAAGTATGTTTTTGCCACAGCATTAATATGTGATTCTGTCTGAAAATCAGTGCATTTTATAGTTTATGGTGGTTATATACCTATACTTCCGTAAAACACAGAGGTGAATAGTATCCTGGTTCAAAACAAACAAGGAAGAGCAGTAACAGACATGATATGATAAACTAAGACATTAAATTAACGTACTGTGAAACTTTGATAACACTGTACCAATTCCAGAAAATGAACTGTATTAAAGGGAGCTGACATTTCTAGCAGCAGGTCCATCTTCCCTTACACTAAAGTTGACTGGTTTTGTTGTCAGTGCCTGTTTTGTGTGAACACAGCATGTTGTGCAGAACAGTGACCCAGCGATTGAAAAACTGGAGTGGTGCTGAGGGGAAATGAGACCTTTCCTGACCAGCAGCCCATATTAGTGGGGGTGTTGAGCTCACTTAGAATACCGGGAAGCATTGACACATAAGCGCATGATTTATAAAGGGGTCCTGCAAGTCATTTAAAAAAACATCCAGTGCTGAATTGCTCTGTGCAAACATTTACAGTAAGATAGGAGATATGAGGTCTTCTTTATGAAAATGCCATGTCGTCACCCCTTATATCATCAGAAGTTTTACTAAAAAGTCTGTTTTAGTAAAAAACAAGTGTTTATTTTCAATACTACAAAGGTTACACATTCTAGAAAAAAAAGCTCTTTTCAAAATTCGTTACGTTCTGCCACTTATTTTAAAAATGCTTTACAGGGCTTTGTGCAATATAAAATCTTTCTTATAATGGGTTAATGTCTCCGTAAAATTCTAACAGTTTTCAAAAATAAAGCTCGCAGGTGTTAGTAGAGTGTAAGTATAAAACTAATTAACTTTTTTTGCACTCTTGTGGTTAAGTGGAAATATTCCTCCTTTTGAAGGGAATGTCGTCAGTGTCTGTTTGATGGGTTTGCCTACAGAATGTATCGGTTGTTCAGTAGGTATCAGTTTTCTGGGAGGGCATCTGTTTTTATTACCATTTAAGTAATTTGAAAAGCGAAATACAATAATAAATCCTCCTTAAAATCTAATGATATACAAGCGGTTTGCTAGATGGCAATCAGTACTCAATATTGTTATGATCCATAAATTGATTTTATTTCGGAGGGGTGAAAATAGCAGTATTATTCATTAGTCTTACAGGGTGTTTGTGGTGTCATACTTTGTCTTTTCAAAAATCAACTTCTTTTCCATATTGTATATGTGGATGTAATCTACATAACTAAAAGTGCTATGAAATAATGCAGCTAAATACAAAAGTCCACATGAACCATAACCAAAATGTTCTTTATTGGCATTTGAGCCTGTTTGGTTAATTGTATTGTAGAACCAGCTGATAATTAACAAATGCTGGTGTTGCGAAAACAATTTGACAACAAATAAAGGGTTCTTGGGATACTAATGTTTATTTTACCAACATATACAGTATTACTAGAAGCTCAGAAATTAATTTTCGTACCTCATACAATATATGTGATGAATGCCGTGATATTTTGTTCTGAGCAGTGTTAATGGGATTTAAAATGTTACCTGGCTTCAAAGGAATTCTTAATTCTAAGATTTAAGAAAGAACATCATGCAAGTAGTGCAAGGCATTAGATCATTCACTTTTGTTTGGTGTTTATTCAAGGCCTGGTGGCAAAAACATGAAAAACTGTCAAGGAAGTTTGAAATGTTTTATGTACTAAATGTTCAGGATAAACTGGGGGAACACAACTTGGAACATTAATTTTTCTTAGAAATAAGAAGACATCTCACAGTCCTGTACAGGTTCCCTGTTTTAACTTTGAGGTTGGAAGTTAGATGCAGTAGCCTGTGCTCTTAAGTCTCCAGACCTAATTCTTCTCTAGGCAGGGCAGGGATAGGTCAAATATGGTTATGCAGTTTCATAAGTGTGGGCAGTAGGGTTATGTTTCATGATTGAAGCCAAATGGGATTCCTGTGGGAGAAGCTGCTGTATAGATACACAAGAATGATTTATTTATTCTAATCATACATTTTGATGTCTTTCATAATTAAAGGCAGAAGTAGAAGGCTGTAGTAAAACAGGGTAGGTTAAAGAGTAATCCAAAGTTAAGATATATTATAGTATGTATTATGTTTTTAGCTCCAATTTCACAATGCTTTAGAATATATCAGTGCACCTGTCTCAAGAATAACTTTTTGTGTTGGAAAATATTCATGTACCATTTGTGTCTTTTGGGAACAATACAAAAAGTTTGTGTGTCTCACAGCAATAGTCTCATACACTGCATTGCAGAAATTTGCTGTATTGCAATCTGAACTTGCCCCTTATTCCAGATGCAGTCTGCTGAATACATAATATTAGGTATTTTAAATTTCATAGATTATTCAGAGTGAAATGGAAGTTGGGAGAGTTTCGGAACAGATAAACTCATTGTTTAAAGTGAGGCAATAATTAAGTCAAGTTTATCTTTCAAGTACTTTTTTATACAATGTTTGTAATTAGGAATTGTCGGTTATTTTATATTTACCACGGTTAAAGTTGTAAAGGGCAGCACGCTGATGCAGTGCTTAGCATTGCAGCCTCGTAGCACTGGGGCTGTGGGTTCATTTTCACACCTGGTACTGTATGCTATCTGTGTGGCGTTTGCATGTGCTTCAAGTGTTCAAGTGGGTTTCCTCTGGGTGCTCCAGTTTTCTCCCACAGTCTAAGTAGTTCAAGGGAAAATTGACCTTAGGTGTGAGCATCTGTGTTTGTCTGTGTGCCTGCCCTGCATTTGACTAGTGTCCCATCCAGTGTGTACCCTGCCTTGTGCCTGTTGCTTGCCGAGGATAGGCCTTGGCTCCTCTGTGATGCTAAATTGGAAGAAGCAGCTAGAAAATGGATGGATAGAAAAGTAGTGATTAATAGTTTTCAGAAATAAAAAAAAATGCTTGCAGTTTATCCACAGACATAAGATCTCGATTTCGTAAAGCAAATTTCCAATATCTTCTGGGAGAATTTTCTCTGGAGATCCTTTACGAAACCACCCAACAAGGTTCTTCGATCACTAACCTGTTAATAAATCAATGACTGAGACTAGACAAACAGCCAGCTTTCATTTCTGATCGTTGTACATGCAAGAAACAGCTTCATCTCACTAAGACATCAGTTTTGAATGTTATTTTCACTTTGATTCTTCATGCAGTTAATGAAAACTGTACATTTAATTTTTGGGTCAATAGTGAGCTCACATGAACTCCATTGAATACGGTATTTGGGTAAGAATGTACATTTCTTTTTTTTAGTATTAAGCCATCATTTTGGTGTGATAGAGTTTTTAGAGTTGATGTGTTAGAGTGAAAGAGGAGTGTGAAAGTTTTTGTTAGCTGAGGTACAACATTCTGTCCAAGGT